TTTTTTTTAAATAGAGCCTCATCTTGTCACTGAGGATGGAGTGCAGTGGTACGATCTTGGCTCAATAGGTGCCTGCCACCATGCCCAGCTAATTCTTGTATTTTTATTTGTGGGTTTTTTAGGGGGGTTTTGGGTTTTTTTGGGGGGAGGGGAGATAGAGTCTTGCTCTATCACCCAGGGTGAAGTACAGTGGCAGGATCTCGGCTCACTGTAACCTATGCCTCCCTAATTCAAAATATTCTCATGTCTCAGCCTCCTGAGTAGCTGGGATTACAGGAATGTGCTGCAATGGATTTTTTAAATGAGTTCTAGCCATTATTCCTGAAACCCAAACAGAAAAAAATTTAGTTCATTAACTTTTTCTTCTTGAGTAATGGATACCTGTTCTTGCCTGTCCAATACCCTTTCCTCAGCAACTTAACTGTGGAAAATTATGTTAAAGTCCAGATGAAATCACTTGAGTCCAAAAGCATTTATTGAAGCATTATTTACACTGATGAGAAATTGGGAACAACATAGATGTCCCACAATAGAAGAATTGCTTAAACTGGGCCGGGCACAGTGGCTCCTGCCTATAATCCCAGCACTTTGGAAGGCCTAGGCAGGTGGACTGCCTGAGCTCAGGAGACCAGCCTGACCAATATGGTGAAACCCCCATCTCTACTAAAAATATGAAAATTAGTTGGCCGTGGTGGTACACGCTTGCAGTCCCTGCTACTCCAGAGGCTGAGGCAGGAGAATCTCTTGAATGAGGGAGGTGGAAGAAAAAAAAAGGAGAAGAATAATTGGTTACGCTGGAACATTCTTACCTACAATGTATTGTACAGCCATTAGAAGTCATGTTTTTCCAAAACGTCTAATAGTACAGGAAAGTCCTCATTATGTTGGGTAGAGAGGCAAAAGGATACAAACAGGTATCATTTTGTCAAAACTCTTCAAATTATACATTATAAAATATGTATTATGTATAAATTATACCTCAGTATGGTGGGGGAAGGAACTGTTTTATATTATGAGGCTTAAAATATAAACCAGTGCTTCTCCAACCTGTGCTTAAAAATTTCTTAGGGATCTTATTAAATTATAGATTCTGATTCAGTAGGTCTGGGGTGGAGCCTGAGATTCTGCATTACAAGTTCCCAAAATGATGTCAATGCCTCTGGCTGGGGACCCTACTTGGAATAGCCAAGGTGCAGACCACATACCAGTGCCTCTCAACGTGTGGTACCTGGACCAACAGTGTCAGGAACACCTTGGAGTGTTAGAAATTCAAATTATCAGCTCCACTCCAGAAGTACTGACTCAGAAGTACTGTTTTAACAAGCCCTCCAGTTAATCCTGATGCATGCTAAAGTCTGAGAACCACTGTTATCTGAATCCAAAGGCATTTTGCAAGTTGCAGCAAAATGTCAGCTGCTTTTATCTGGATAATGAGATTTTGATGATTTTTATTTTCTTTGTGCTTTCCTATAGTTTATTAAAATAAATATTATATGTTTTCTTGGGTGGGTTCGGTGGTTCACACCTGTAATCCCAGCACTTTGGGAGGCCGAGATGGGTGGATCACCTGAGGTCAGGAGTTCAAGACCAGCCTGACCAACA